TGGTGGAGAGGTGTGGAGGGAACAGCGGGCAGGCAGACTTGGAGGGAAATCCTCAGGAGGAGAGAACAAAGGAACTTGGTCCAGAGAAAATCCAGAGACTGACCGGTGCACGTTAATCATCCAGCACTGAGTGAATGTTCTGCTGCTCCTTTATCCCCAACACTGATGAGGCAGATGAGATCCACCTGCGTAGGCTGCCCAGGTTCTCCACCAAGATCCTCGCTGGAACAGATGCCTCACTCACACACACACACACACAGGAACCCTGACACAGGCTGTATGATGTAAAGAATCAATGGGTTCATTGTGCAGCCGTGAGTTCACCCACTAATCAGCCGTGACTGACGAGAACAATCTAAAACACGACTTAATCAGTTAATAACTTTTTTTCCATTTCATATTGTTTCTGAGCTGTTCAATAGAGCAGCGGTGCGATGTGTCTATCACGGAAGGTTTTGAGTCGATTAGGTGACAAACTGAACGCCGCCAGGAGGCTGAGACCAGCACGTCCTCTTCTGACCCGCTTAAAACGTGGAGGTCAAAGTGGGGAACACCCCCAAAGGTGGTGGAGAATGACCGAGCTAAGATCCTGTGGGACTTCCAGATCCAGACAGACAAGATGGTAATGGCGAACCAACCGGACATTGTGGTGGATAAAGAACAAAGGAAAGCCGTTGTGGTGGATGTAGCAATACCAAGTGACCACAACATCAGGAAAAAGGAGCATGAGAAACTGGAAAAATACCAGGGCCCCAGAGAGGAACTGGAGAAGGCCTGGAAGGTGAAGACCACAGTGGTGCCTGTGGTCATCGGGGCCACAGTCACTCCCAAACTGGAGCAGTGGCTCAAACAGATCCCAGGAACAACATCAGACATCTCAGTCCAGAAATGTGCAGTTCTAGGCACAGCCAAGATACTGGAGGAGAACCCTCAAGCTCCCAGGCCTCTGGTAGAGGACCCGAGCTCAGAGGATGAAAGAGAGAGAGACTACCCGCAGAGGGTGAGAAGGGAATTTTATATATATATATATGTATATTCTTACATATTTGTTGTCATCAAGAATGTATATGTTTTGTTTTTCCTTTCCTTTATACATGTGCTGTCATCAAAACATGTATAATATTTTTTTTTTCCTTACACGTGTTTTTGTAAGAAATGTATATATTTTCTTTTTCATTTCCTTTGTCATTGCCTCCTCTCCTTTGTCGTCCATGCACTCTTGTCCCTGAGGTTGGGAGGGCTGCTGGACGAACATTTCACGAACCAATGAACATTTCGGGCGAGAGGCGGGGTCACCCTGGACAGGTCGCTAGCAGTCTGTCGCAGGGCAACACAGAGACAGACAGGACAAATAACCAAGCACACATACACTCACACCTAGCGAGAAGTTTTTGAAGTGTGGGGAGAAGCCCCAGAGAAAACCCACGCATGCACAGGGAGAACATGCAAACTTCTCCACTGACCACAATAACATTTTACCCCTGTTTGTAAATCTATTAAAAAGAAATTTCACAGTTGGTTAGCTAGGGATTTAACTATTTATGGTACTATTTATGGAGTAGTATTAAGCAAAGCAGAAGGAATGTCAAGGGTGTCATCTTTTCACAGTAGATGTTAGTAAATCGCTCTGTTCTGATCTGGATAAAATTCTCATCAAGTTTATATGGAAAAATAAAGCCCATAAAATAAAATAAAAATCTGTACTGTCAAACTCTTGCTGAAGGAGGTTTAAATGTTTATGTCTTCATAAGTGGGTTGATAATATTAATTTGATAAATCTGAGGTAAGTGGTATGCCTATTTTATGAACAACAATGACATAGAGATATGTCAAAAAAAAAATTGAAGTGGTCATTAAAACTGTTTGCTCATAGTTTACTGTGTTTAGCACAAACCAAACATCCGAACGATTTAAACCTTCATGACTCAATTTCAATTGAAGGAATGAATAATGAATAAGAAATTTACAAACGGCTTTATCAAAACTAATTTTCTCCACTCCCACAAGTAAACATATATGGGATTATTTGAGCAAAAAATTGTGGAGTACAATCTTTTTATTGCCTCATAGATATATAGTAGGGATCAAAGAATTTTTATTTAAGATTTTACATAGATATTATCCAGTTAAAAATAATATTTGTCGCTTCGCTCCAGATGTCAGCAAAAATTGCTCTTTTTGTCAGTGTGTGGACATTTATTTATGGAATGTTCTCACACTACAATACAATGGTCGGGCTTGCAGAAACTCCTTACAGAAAAAATTTGAAAAAAAATATTGTTTTATCAAATTTACATGTTTTACTCATCTTTAACAATCTGACTTTTTCTTTAGATGAAATATATATAGTGAATCTTATAATCATAGCAAAATATTATGTCCACAAGATGAAATGGAGTGAAAAAAATCCCCTTTTTGTTAGGTTCTGGGGTTTTAGTTTGTTCCTTTGGGTTGCTGAGTTTCTCCCCACTAGATGGAGTCCGAGAGCTGGCGGGCCACATCATAATCGATGATGTCATCCTCACACCGGAGGCTGATCATCTCCGACTGGCCGTTCCACCTACCCTCTGCCTCCTTCAGGGACAAGCCTTCCTGTCCGCCCTCCAACGCCACTCCCCGAACCACCAAGCTCCACGGAGATACAACTCAATAGGTCTGAAGGAACTCGAGGACCGACCAGTCCCCTCGAAATCGTTTGAACACACAGTGCCAGTAAGTTTACCCATTTCTCATTCGCAACCTCCCGTTTCCCAGCAAACCTGAACTCACCATGCTCTATATATTTTCTATATTTTCTATATATATATATACGCTATATTTTCCCAGTGCACCAAGAGCAGCCGTGCAGTTTCTGGACCCGCTTCACTTCTTTTGTTGTTTTTCTATAAATAAACTTTTCATATTTCACCCGTCTCATATGCATTTGGGTAAGATCCGTTAAACCCATCATGACACTTTTAATAATTTTCAAAAGGCAATTTTAATGTCTCTTTGCTGAAAGAAATTTCAGGCCAAAAATATTTGCACAGTGGCTCACCAGTTTGGGAATATTTCCAAGAAACTTTGGCCACATCAGTTTTGTTAATGAGACTTCCAGTTTTGGAGTTATAATTTAAAACGCATATTTTCTACCATAGTGCCACCTACAGGTGAACCTGCCTCAATATTTGTATTTGAGTAGCAGTGTGGGAAATGAACTTGGAAACCAAATAAAAGTTGTAAAAAGTTTCAGGGGGAGGCTGCAGTATGAGTTTCAGAAGAAAAAATGTAATAAGAATGGAAAAACGGAATTAAAAACAATAGGAGCTACAGATGGGCTGTGAGATGGTTTTATACCTGAACACATAACTGTAGCAAAGTTGTACCAACTGAGATGGTTTTAGGTACAATATTATAGAACTACCCAAAATTTAAACACAAATATCACAATTAAAGAGAGAATCCTAAGTTACCTTTTTAGACAATTTATCACAAAAATTTCGATTTAGAGGTTATGTTTGGTTATGTTAATCAACTGGAACTAATTTTAATCCAATAATATTGGATACTATTTGAGTTACAATTAGTTGTAACTCAAATATTTTTTTGCAAACTGTAAGATTTTATAGTAAAATTATGAAACACCACCAACATGTGACACTATTTAAACTGTTTGCACTCTGCAACTCACCCAGTTCATTGAAGTGGACCCCTTGTTCCCAGTTGCTAAGCCTGGTTCCAGTAAGAGCACCAAGAGCCACATTCTCCATGTTAGGAAATAGATTGCTACCAGCCTAACAAATAACAGATGGTTTAGGGATTTGTTTTTATCCCTCTGTACAGTATGCATATCTTTGCTCTTACCTTTGCACATTGACCACCCTTGACATGAGGCATACTGATGCATTGGGTAAGGGTATGGTAACTGGGGTTGGAGAAGTAGTTGCTGGGGTGGGCTTCATATGATGGAGTGTAAGTATCTAAAAGTTAAAACAGGACAATAACTGTTAGCAGAGCTTTCTGCATGATTCTTTTGAGTTGGCTTCAAAACACATATTTTGACTGTAGAGCATACAGTTTGATGGACACAAATAGCTGGTAGAATAAAAATGCTGGTACAGGAGCATTTCTGGACCAGCATAAACTCTGCATTGAAAAAGCATGTTGTGACTACTGCCATAGTTGTGACATGTCACATGTCACGCATCACGTATCATGTTGTGATACATGAGATGGCATGTATGTTGTATCAAAGAAACATGTTGTGATACATGATATGGCATGTATCACACACAGTAAAAATGCCAGTGTTGAATTAACACCCAAAAGTGTCTATATGTGTCCAAGTCAGCTGGTGTTAAATTCAACAATACAGAGTGTCACATTAACATTTACAACAGTGCTGGTGTTAAAATATATTAAAAGTAACACCAGTGTAATGTTGTGGTGTTTAAAAAGTAAATAATTGACCCACAAACTGTCAATATCAATCAAATCCAGTGGAAAATATTCAAAACAATACACAGAAATGGAAAGTTTATCTTTTCTTAAACCCATTTCAGTATTATAGACCAATGTTAATTTAACAAAACAATGGGTGTCAATCTTTTAACACTTTCAAAAGTGTTACTTTAACACCTTGGACACCTTGGATACATATAGACACTTTTGGGTATTAATTCAACACTGGCATTTTTACTGTGCATGTTGTATCAAAGAAACATGTTGTGATACATTTGTAAGGGGTATGGTAACTGGGGTGATGGCATGTTGCTATACAACAACAATATGCCGTATCTGTAAACATATTCGTTAGATGTTTGAAATTTGTAGGTATCAAAAAGTAACTGAGCACTTATTAGACATATGTTTGATTATGGGGGACACATTTTAATCGATATTCAACTTTAATTCACCTGCTCTAGTGTAATTAGATGTGATCCCGATAGCAGGAGTGTAGATTACAGCTGGCATTGTAGCCTCTTTACTCTTCTGTTTATTTCGGTAGATGATGAATAGGGGCAGGGCAAGAAGTACCAAAAACACTAGAACTATGATTCCTGAAATGACTCCTATCTGGTAGGTGTCTACGTGTAAGGATGCGCTGGTCAAATTGTTGAAGCTTCCAAACACCACTACACCACCTGCAGAGAGAAGAAGAAACAGTTTCATTCTATTTTTCAACCAAATAAGTCAGATGGAAACTGCAGCTTGAAGTGACTCAATTACGATTTTTTTGTCTAATTGGAGTTTTTGCCTTGGCCATTCACACTTCCAAATAAATCCAACCTGTATGTATTCTGCAATGTGAACGGCCAAACAACCTGAAAGTGTCTTATATGCACAGTGCTCAGTGTTCTGCCAACCACCATAAAAATAAGAAGTGCTCAGTTTTTGGAGACGTAAACACGGATGCTAACAGTGGAGCATAGTTTACACATTTGAAGTTGTTGTCCGACCGCAGAAGCATATTAACAATTTAATCGTCATCATAGTTGTTGTTATTCGTCCTGCTTGTGCGCATCAGGACGCAGAATAGTGACATTTGTGTCAATATCAGTGACATTCAGGTTGGATGAATGCGACATGGACTGGGGCTGGGCATTGGGTATACTCAATGTATCACGATATTTTTTCGATTTACGATTGTTAAAATGGCTATATCGCAACCATCGAGTATATATTATCGTTCAAATAAAAAACTTTCGCCGTCAGATTCACTGCGAGTATGGTTTATCCAACACCCTATGAATGCATCACGAGTCCCTCCCCGTCCCAACCTGAAAATTTTCTACCAATCACGCTGCGCGGAGAAAACAAACAATATTGTGACAGCAAGAGCTTGAGGCGAGCTGTGAATGAGACGGAAACTGAAGAGAATTAGATGAACTAACTAGTTCTGAAAAGAAACAGCGCTGGATCAATAATTTGGTAGTGGTTTGGATTTTATATGGAGAATGTTGAACAAAATGAGGTAATTTGCGAAACATGTTATAAAACTATTGCCACAATGGTTGTACCACAAATTTATTTAGTTTGTGTAGGTCGCTTTTTTTACATCTTATTCCACAGCACATCTATTTAAGTTTGTCAAAGTCAAACATAACTGACCTACTCCTTTGCTATTTTTTTCTTAGTTAAAACTTATTTCTCACCTTCTCACCTGTCATAGTGTAGACAGTTCATAGCAAAATACTGCATCCCTTTTTATTGAGCTTACATTTAAGTCTAGCAGGGAAATGGGGGCGGGAACTTGCGTGGGTGACATCATGCTGCAAGGAGTCTAATTTAAAATAACATTGGAGCTCATTTAAGAATATCGTGATATATATTGTATATCATGATATAGCAAAAATATATCAGGATATTAGATTTTCCTCATATCCTACCTGGACTACCTGGACGTTAGGTCGCATTTGAATCAACCTGACGTCGATTTAAGGTAAATCGGTAAGGTAAAAAACTTTATTATCCCATAGGGAAATTAAGATTGTCTGTTGCTCACACATTAATTCACGCATTAAAAGTGATCTAGTAAAAGAACTTAAATACAATAAATAGATTAAAAATGCTAATTACTCCGTCTCCCTCCCTTAACCCTCCCAGAAGTCACAGCATTGTGAAGTCTAATGGCCCGTGGGACAAAGGAGTTTTTAAACCTCTCAGTTGAACATCCCAGTGAAAGAAACCTGTCACTGCGGGAGCTCCTCTGGTTGGAGAAAACAGTATGCAGGGGATGTCTTTGTGTTCTCCAGGACTAAACTGAGTTTAGACATTGTCCTCTGTTCCACCACTGTCTCCACAGACTCCAGGTTCACACCGACCACAGAGCCAGCTCTGCGGATGAGGTGATTCAATCTCTGTATGTCCCTCTTCTTTGCACTGGCCCCGCAACAAACAGCAGCATAAAATATTACAGTACAATGGACTTATAAAACATATACAGGAGCTTAGAGCACACATTGAAGGAGGCCAGTCTCCTCAAGAAGTACATTCTACTCTGTGCTTTCTTGTACACATTGTCTATATTGGAAAACCAGTTCAACTTATTGTCCAGTTGTAGGCCCAAGTATTTATATGTTATGACCACCTCTACCTCAGTGCCATTAATGATGGTAGGCTGAGGCAAGAGGGGCACCCTACAAAAATCAAGAACCATCTCTTTTGTTTTAGAGTCACATTTTGTTAAAAAGTCACATTCAAAAAGAATCCGACCTGTGCTGTTCAGACTGTCATGAAAAGATCGGATACAGGTCGCATTACATCAAAAAATTGGAGTTGGGTCACTTCAGTCTGCAGTGTGGATGCAGCCTAATTCTTACGTGCATGATGACTGTCAAAGAGGCTGCAGCAAAAGGCAAATTACACAAAAACTGTGGGAAAACCTTATTAGAAGGGGTCATATTTATGACAGTCATAAATATGACATAACATCCATCATGAACATGAAAGAGTCTGCACGAATGTTTATGACTCTTGTCATTAAGTATCATTTTTTCTCAAGATCATCCCATTTCCCCATGCTGGACATTTTGGTTTACCAGTAACAACACATGGAATTACCTGTAAAATTAATCATATAAAGTAACATCTAGACCTAACAGCAAAATCAAACTTCAATAAGATCAATGAGGTTGTGCTTTTCTGTTTTGTTTCATGCAAGCTTTGCTTTAATTCTATTTATTTTTGTATTTAATCATGTGAGGATCTGTGTTTTCTGTGTATTTTGAGGCTTCTCTGTGTTTTTTTTACTTCTGTTCCCCTGTGAGTCTCTGTGCCGTCCTATCCTGATTGTTCCCAGGTGTGTCTTGTTCCTGCTCTCCTTGTGTATTGTGTACCCAACAGGGAACAAAGACCACAGGTGGATACCTATGGTCTTTGTTCCTTGTTGGGTCCTTGTCTATGGTCGTACGTCTTGCTTCCCAGTTGTTCCGTTCTGTGTGCTGGAGTTATTATTAAATATTCATAACTTTCAACCTGGGCTCACCTGCATCTTCCTCACCATCAAAACCCGCAAATCATGACAAATCATAAGAAATGAGTGCTGTCAAGCCATGAAAAGGAACAACAGGCTTCCTGAAAAAAGAGTAAGAAGTTTCCAACCTGCAGAGAGTTTTAAAGAATGAAGACTAAACATTTTTTGAGTAATTGAATAAGAACCAATACAAAATACTTGTATTAATGTTGTTTTGATGCTGAATTGGAGAAGCTAAAGAGGTTATGGATGTGATTTTGACAATCAACTTGAAATGATGTAAAATGTGTAACTGCAATCAAAGATTCCAAGATGTTGCGCTGGGGGGAGCTGCTAGGTGAGAGTTTAGGAAAAAGGAGAACTGAAAGGAGAGCAAAGATGAATGAACGGTGCAGCACAAAAGGGGAACTGAAACTGCTGAAGAGAAGGTAAGTTGCAGGTTAAAGGATGGAGTGACCCTCTCCACTCCATCCTGTGTTTTTGTCAGGCCTGGGACAAGAACACAGACATGATTTAATGTCTCCAAAGCAAAGGTGGATCTGAGATCATCTATTCAAGCAGACAGCCAAGGAAGGAAGACTGTGACATGCAAGTGACCTTTGAGCATTCTTAGGGTGCTTAAAAGTCTGCTGCAAAAAAAAGAAGTGGGTTTTTCCTTCCGTAAGGTCCTCACTGTCATCTGGACAGCTCAATGGGCCATGGATCTACTTGGAAGAGACCCAGAAGCGTGCGTACAGCAATACTGCACCTGTACGCAGCAGAACATCTGAATTCTCAGGATTCTGAGATTAAATTCTGTTTTTTGTTGTTTTTTTGTTTTTTTTCCAGTGGCCCTAATCCTCTTCTGTAATGTTCTTTAACTGCAAGTAGTTTTGGATAAAAGCAACTTCAGTATTACTTGTATATCTTGAATGTCAATACTTAATGAACATTTTATTTGTAGAACCATTTGTCTCACCTTCATTGCATCGCACTCCCTTCCACCCTGGGCTGCAATAACATGTTCCCGTCATGTGATCACATGTGGAGTTGTTTAGACAGTTACAGCCCTGACGACAGTGTCCATGGGGACACTCTGGAAATGGAACATCAAAAAGAAACAATGATTGAGATGAACTTAGAAACATGAGGTCCCAAATACAACTGGATAATATTTGGAATAAATTGTTTGGGATACACAAGGAAAATAACAGGGGTTTTTTGTTTTGTTTTTTTAAGAACAAGCACCTCCAAGTTCTGTGACAAAAGAGTAGTGCTACATACTTTGTTCACAATGTTGTCCCATATAGCCAGTGCGACACGTGCATTTTCCAGAGATGTGGTCACAGTAAGCCCCATTTCTACAGTGACAGATCTGTGAACACTCCTTCCCGTAGAAGCCTAATGAACAGCCTGAAAAGAAATCCTCATCATACTTTGTACATTTCAAAAAGTTTATAACACTTTTAGCATTTTGTAATAAACTTTTTGTAATAAACAGTAGTTTTCAAAAATTTTGACCAAGTCCCCCTTTAGAAAAACTACATTTCCTTAAAGTTATGTTTGGCATAACTGAAGTTAACATAGTTGCTTAATTGTAACTATGTTAACTTTTGTTAATAGTTAATCATATTAATTAGAATTTGAATTGATATCCGTTACATTTGATTTTTCTTTGGAATCAATAAAGTATTTTTGAATTTGAAATCTGCAAGTTTATCCCTATATCGAGGGACTTGGGACAGTTCACATTGTCTTTTGTTAAGCTTAATCTAATCTCTACCTTACTTGACAGTACATATAAGTTTTCTTAATCTTTTCTTTAATCTTTGTGTGAATGAATATGAGTGCTATAGTGTCTTTCTTTTCCAGTCTTTCTGAAAGCTGTCTCTTATAACCTGCGTATGACACTGTTAATCACTGTCGAGCATTAACAATAGAAAATCCTGACTTATTTACTTCAGAGATCTATATTTTTTTCATTGCCCCCAAAAGTAAGGTTGAAATAGTTAATTTTCTTTGCCCAAATGACCAAAAACAAAACTTTTTTCTGAAAGTTTTTATACAACTCGTCTTTAGAACTGTGACCAACGTTGTGTGCAGTAAAGGCCAGTCCATCCAGGGGTGCACTTGCATTCACCATCGTAAGCACTGCAGTATGCTCCATTGTGACAATTACATCTGTGTAGACAATTGCGGCCCCAGTAACCAGGAGAACAAACTGAAACACAGTGACAGATAGTTGTTAGTACCAACACCAGTTAGGAAAAAGCATTTTTTCCATCTTTGACCTGGGTGGAAGTGCCCCGTAAAGTGGTAATTTCCAGTATGAGAGCTTTGGCAAATTTTCTTGTTTTGTCAAAAGCTTTGCCGAGGGATTTGAGACCTAATGGCTTCTGTAAGGCTGGCTTGTTGTTGTAAGGCCCAACAACAGTTGGGCCTCCTGAAACGCTTTGGATACTCCATCAAAGCAATAATTGTGCTTAGGGTGACTCATCATATTGATATGTTAAATGTGCTGTTTTTCTCCCCGAGGAAGTTCTTTCAACATTTGTTTCACAAGCCAACATGTTGTCTTCATCCAAAACCTTAAAGAAGTTCCAAACCATAGCCCTTATTTTTATCTGTTTTCTCACAAGTTTGGGAGTCATGTTTAAGGTATTGATATCACACTACCACATCGTGTGATGATTGGTATATTATTTTAACTATTATGGCAGATCTCCTGACATGAGAGAATTTTTAAATGATTTACTTCCAGTCAGAAAGTTGTTTTCTCCAATTATATGCCACTTGAATTCTGTTCAGGAATGGGAGTGCTTGATAAAAAAAAAAAAAAAAAAACACCACATGCTGAACATGTTATTGGACTGACAAGAATGATCTCATAATTTCTTAATTTCTTAACTTCTAGGCCTGAAAATGTTGTACACTTTCATTGTTTTGCCAAGATAGGGCTGCAGGAATAAAAGTTTCAAGAAACCTAGATCTACCCAACAACACTCTCCAGATCATTCTGAATGATCCCAACATTAGAACAAATATGGATCCTGTACCTGGATGGAGCAATTCACATTTTGCTCCCTTCAGGTATATTGCACAGAGGTGCTGACTTGACCCAATCACTTTACATTTGGATGGCATTACAATGTGAACTGACAGTCTTGGCTGGAATGCAAAAACAGAAGCAACTCAGTTGTAAAGAACAAAAAAAACATATCTTAACAATTTTGTCCACAATTATCTTAAACTGAACTGACAGCAAAGGACATTTCTTGCAGAGTTCAACCCACACTCGAAACAAACTTGATTTCATTCTGAGAATGGAAACAAAAACTCCATTCAAAATCTGAAGAAATTAAAATTGCTGGATTGCAACCAGGTTGTACATAGAGCCCCAAAATGTAAAGACACTCAATCTCCAGTCATCTGGGTGCTGACAAAATGATCAGAAAATATTTTACCTGTTTCATATATATCGTGGCCCTGAGCCAAGCACTAAGCTTCAAGTTATTTATTTATTTTTTGGGAAGACGTTGGTTTTTTAGAAAGTTTTTTTTGCTGTAGCTGATCAGTTCATTCTTTCTGTGGGGAGGGAAGAGGCAAGCTGACGCACAGCCAAGCCCCGGGTAACCAGGGTAACCATACTGACCATCGTCGCTCGGCCAAACAAGGTCTGCGTCAGGTGCTGGGGAACCAGAGCACCTTGATGACAAATGGGCTACTGGAACAAGACGGAAATGGGCGAGAGGTGAAAACCTGGATCTGTTGGAATGCTACTATGTAACTATGTACTATATAATGCTACTATGTAGCCCCTCTTATTTAGCATGGAATGCTAAGAGGGGCTAAGTAAGAGGGGTTACATGCAAAGAATGTGGAAGGAATGGTTAGTTTGACATCCCCAGTCTAGAATGACTGCTAAACAACTAGTAGCTCAGTGTTCCAACATC